GTGCTGAAATATTGAGCGAAAAAAAGTAGCGCAAAAGCTTAAATTTGCATCCAAGAGTGACAATGAGAGACCTATAAAAAGAAAAAGAAATCAAGAAGCAGCAAGAGAAAGTCAAAGATACAAAGAGGAAAGTAAAGCACATAACCAGGCAAATCTTCTCTCTTTCAGTCTTTTCATCTTCTCTCTTTACTGTTCCTGTAGATCTGAATCCTTCACTGTCCTCCCAGCTGACCTGAATGATAGAGCTTTCACAAGCACTTAAACTCTTCCAAGAGAAACACACTTTGTTCAGGGACATGCAGCACACATACGAAATTTATACTTATACTATTTATAGTTGATAAAACAGTGTCAGATATTAAAACTGCTGCACTCAATATGATAGCACTTTTACTTACACATGGAAATATAGTTGTCGTTCAATTTTTTATTTTATTTTGTGCAGACTTAATACTAACTAGTAACACAATATTTGTTTAACTTATTTTTTTGTTGTTGTTCTTCTTCTGTAATTCTGTGGTGCTAATTATTATTGTGTTATTTATTTTCACGCAGCATCAATATTTTGGTAAATATTCAGGTCAGGTAAATTTCAGAACTTCAATCATTAATTATGAGCCATTGGTTTAGTACAGAAACGTTTTTGCACTAATTTTGCAGATATTTTGCTTTTGCAAGGATGGGAACATTCTAGAAGTTTCTGGAATATTCTGTATTATTCTAGTGCTTTCTGGAACATCCCAGTTATAAAAGAGTTGACACTTTTTTGACGACTGCTAACTGTTTATGTCAAACTGTTGTTGATAGCTCATATTATGCATGTAGCATGTCATTTTTATGCATGAGTAAAAACAGAGTAGCTTCCATAAGCTGTCAGCATATTTTTTTTGTTTTCATGAGCACTGTTAATGATACACAAAAAGTCATGAGATTTTCGTATTCAGCATGTCAAACTTCATAAATAAATATTAAAAATAAAAACCAAACAAAACTTTTATCAAGATTACTAAAAAAAAGTAATGAAATAAAACTAACTCACATTAAAAGTGGGGGGTTCAGCAGGTGCAAGCATTTACATTTACTATAGTATCCAAAATATCACAGAAACTGCAGATGTTGTTATGAAAACATAGGAAATGAATATGCATTCTGCATCAAACAGAGCAAGACATTTTAAGAATCCATTCAATAAAAGAGAAAAATTGTAACACTCTATATGGCGTCCTGCCATTCAATAAAAATATATAATCGGCTTGTTGGCAGTGCTTGCTCATTTTGCTCTGAATGCGCCTCAGCTGGGCAAACCTAAAAAATACATTTTTGCTGACTGATTTAAGCACAGCTGTCTTTTTTTTTTTATTGTCGAGCTGACATATGTTATCGAAATGGCACATCGTTTTTGACATTTCAGTCTTTTCCCTTTCCAGTAGATTGGAGGTGTACTTGCGTGACTTGAAAATAGCTGCCCTGGGGCATTGACACAATGACTGCAGAGTGAACCGACACACTGCAACAGGGACTTATGATAATACCAAGTTACTACTGTAGTAACAATAACTCTATAACTGTTGTATTTGGGGG